AATTTTGGAGAAATTTTTTTAAAATTTTGTTTGGTTTATTGATTTTGAAAAAAAAATTTCAAAATCACTTTTTCTCTTGGGTTTTTTTTTTTTAAGGTCCCTCGTATTAAGATTTTATAGCATAAATGACATCTAATATTTTCATAATGTCTAAGGTCCCTCAAGTTGATCCAGAGAAAATTTGAAAATTTTTCTGACTTTACTGGCCTTCCCACAAAATTATCTCTCCAAAGAAATTTCAAATTTCTTTGGCCTCCCTGGCCTTTCATGCACTCTCCGGAGAAATTTCAAATTTCTCTGCCTTCTATATACTTCCCACTCTCCACAGAAATTTCTCTGCATTTTCACAACATTACCTTTCCAGATAAATTTTGAAATTTCTCTGGATCGACCCAAAGAAATTTTACTTCAAACCCAGAGAATTTCTCTGGGGATATATCCACATCGCTCACCACTCTAACCTTCAACTTTCCTTTGCTTCACCACCCCCCCTCTCTCTCTATATATATATATATATTGTTTCTCTCTCCTTAAGTACCAAGAAAAATAAGAAGAAGAAAGAGAAATATTAAATGACACCATCATTAATATATATATACACACACATAAATTCAAAGTATTTAGATTGTCAAACTAATATTTTTTAAGCTAGTATCTAAATTTAGCAGTGAGAATAAATGTAATCAACAATCACAGCTGTACTACTCGTTGAAATACATTTCCAGCAATGTTTTTCTTGACTTTGGAAGAGAGGAATCATGATTGTTTGACCATTTTCCTTCTTCATTGGAACCTATGCAGACAACGTTCACCTTTATTTCGTAACGGCAAGCCATTGGAAAAAAGGGATCGGTGATTGATCCGGATAATTTGTTGAATTACGAGCTGACGATTGCGTCCAAGGGGCAAAAAGGTTTGTTGAAAGAGTTTGATGAAGTTTTGGAGCATTACAATAGCTTTTCGGTACAAAAGGTGTCAGAGAAGGTGACGAAATCGAAGGTGTTAGTTGTAACGATTGTAAAGGAGATTGCACCAGAGGATTTGGAGTCAGAGAAGAAGAAGCAGCTGATGAAGGAGCAGTGTGCTGCACACTGGACCACGTTGGCGCCGAATATGGAGGATTATAGTGGGATTGCGGCAAAACTGATGATTGAAATGGGGCAATGAGGTTTTGAGGAAGAGGATCAAACCCAGTCAAATTTCTCTGATATATGTTTAGAGACCTTAGATATCAAAAAAATAATTTTGTGGATCTCTTCTATTACGAAAAGTGGGAGAGGGACCCTAGACTAATTTTTTCTTTTCTCTTCTATACATCAATCAATCACTTTTTCTCTCTCCTCTCTCATTTTCAATCACTTTTTCTCTCACACACATTTACACAACTACAACAAAATATCAAATCATCATAAACTCTCATATTCTAAAACTATTTCTAAAATATATAACCAAACAAACAAAAAATATTTCTAAACTCTCTCTCCAAATATTTTTTTGAAAATTTATCTCCCAAAATCAAACCAAACACACCCTGAATTTTTCTCTTTTTTTTTTGTATTTTGGTATTCAGTGAATTCTTCACAGATTTTTTCACAAATATTATACTTTTAAAGTGTATTTTATGTTAGGTGTATCTCAAAATCAAAAAAATTCAATGAAAATAAAAAAATATGAAAAACAAAAAGTTTCAATTTTTTGAAAAGTGAATTCAGAAAACTCAAACCAAACAAGCTGGTATTTCTAACATTACTCATTTTGTAAATATCCCCATTTAGTATAAAGACCACTTTATCTTTTTCTATTTTTAATAATTCTATACTTAGAACCCTTAATTATAAATTTAAAAAAAAAATAGAAATAATTTTTCTAGAAGAATGAAGAAAGTGATGCAATTTTAAACTTATTTAGTAATATTTTAATTTTTTATGAAAAGATATATAAAAAAAATAGAGAGGTGATGTCACACCTTGTAAGGATTTATCTTTTTCTATTTTTAATAATTCTATACTTAGAACCTTTAATTATAAATTTAAAAAAAAAATAGAAATACTTTTTCTAGAAGAATGAAGAAAGTGATGCAATTTTAAACTTATTTAGTAATATTTTAATTTTTTATGAAAAGATATATAAAAAAAAAATAGAGAGGTGATGTCACACCTTGTAAGGAATAAATTGCTTATTTGCTATGTTGCCAAACTCAAGGAGCCTATAAAAATTTAAAATTAAGAAGACATAGTGATACATAACAATAATTAAAGAAAAATTGTGTGATTAACTTGAAAAATGGTGAAGTTGTAAGAATTTTTTTTTTAAAAAAAATAATTTTTCTCCATATTTGTTAAACATAAAAGTCACAAAAAATACAAGAAAATGAAATTTTTTGTATAATATGTTGCTTTCACTTTCTTCCATATATATATATATATATATATATTTCTCTCAAAAATTGTCAATTATTATTACATATTATAAAGGACCTCTCCTCATATCAAAAGTAGAGGAGGGACCTTAGGCCAATTTTCCCATAAAAAATTCATCTTAAACAAACACATGTAAAAAAATAAAAGGTAAATTTCAATAACACTATCTAAATTCTTTTGAAATCGTATTATCACCGTTTATTTTTTAAAATATCATTAAACTCACCACATCAAGAAAAAAAATACAAGGAAGAGAGTAGGCAGTGGCTAGGGTTTCGGACAAATTGAGAGTGAGAGAGGGGCAGAAATTTTGAGGAAAATCGGTCTAAGGTCCCTATCCACCTTTTAGTAATGGATTAGGTCCACAATATATTCTTTTGTAGTCTAAGGTCCCTCACTCCCCATACCCAACAAATTAGACACAGGTGATAGAATTAAGCTTCCGGATAACAAGGTTTTGCAAAACTTATTGTTTGCTATCATCAAATCCAATAGACCTTGGGAGTTATGCATCTTGGTTTGGTTGCTGAATTCCTGCCCCTCTTTACTATCTTCTTGATGTTCTGTAATTGATTTAATCTGTTTGTTACTGTTGTTTTATCAGGTTTGGGATCTTGGCGGACAAGGTATATATTATTTTATTTTTTAAAATCTCACTGATTAGCTAATATATTCTCATTTTTTTTTTCTCTTCATATTAACCAATCATTGGGATGCACAAAATTGTAGTTTGAATATAGTTTCATTTTTCAACCGTCACTTTGAATCTACCTTTGTTTTTCAAGCATCTCACAAGGAGTGTAATGCCATAATTCTTTTATATATATATAGATATAGTTATGCAATTTTATGAACATTTTTTTGGTGCGGATGGTCAAACCCTTGCAAGGTGTAAGAATTTTAGCAACTCTGTTTGATTTGGAGTTTTTTAAAATAAAAAATTAAAAAAATTGAATTTTTAATCTGTATTTTTTTGTTTCTAGTGAACTTTTTAAAATATTTTAATTAACTTTTTAAAGATCCACTTGATCTAATTACACTCAAAAAGTAAAAATTTGTAAAAGAAAAAAAAATCTTTAAAAATTCATTGAATACAAAAATTTAGTACATTTTTCATTTTTTTTTTTGTATTTATTTATTTATTTTTAAAAAGTCAAAAATATTTTACTTTTTAAGTATATCTAAATTAAATAAATCTAAAAATGTTAAAAAAATAATTAAAAAATTAAGATAATACGGATTGAAAATTCAAAAAACTGTTTCAAAATTTTTTAAACCAAATGGAGTAATTTTTTAAATTTTTTTTTATGAATTATTATTAAAATTGTTCACGTCCCTTGCATGGGCTAAAAACTCTCAGCACACTACCTTTGCATTGAATTGAAGCCCCCATTCACGATGTTAGTTTGTTTTTCATTATCCTTGGTTGCAGCTTCAATTTTGGTTGACAGTTACTAGGGCTGAGCAAGGAATCCGTGAAATCCGTAATCCGATCCAGTCCAGTCCAATCCGATAGGTTTGGATTGGTTTTTTGAATCCGCATATAGTTATGCAATTTTATGAACATTTTTTTGGTGCGGATGGTCAAACCCTTGCAAGGTGTAAGAATTTTAGCAACTCTGTTTGATTTGGAGTTTTTTAAAATAAAAAATTAAAAAAATTAAATTTTTAATCTGTATTTTTTTTTGTTTCTAGTGAACTTTGTAAAATATTTTAATTAACTTTTTAAAGATCCACTTGATCTAATTACACTCAAAAAGTAAAAATTTGTAAAAGAAAAAAAAATCTTTAAAAATTCATTGAATACAAAAATTTAGTGCATTTTTCATTTTTTTTTGTATTTATTTATTTATTTTTAAAAAATAAAAAATATTTTACTTTTTAAGTATATCTAAATTAAAGAAATCTAAAAATGTTAAAAAAATAATTAAAAAATTAAGATAATACGGATTGAAAATTCAAAAAACTGTTTTAAAATTTTTTAAACCAAATGGAGTAATTTTTAAAATTTTTTTTTATGAATTATTATTAAAATTGTTCACGTCCCTTGCATGGGCTAAAAACTCTCAGCACACTACCTTTGCATTGAATTGAAGCCCCCATTCACGATGTTAGTTTGTTTTTCATTATAAACGGATTGGATTGGTTCCAATTTTTTAGAAACCGTAAATAACGGATTGGTCTTGATTTTACCCCAATCCGGTCCAATCCGGACCATGCTCACCCCTAACAGTTACTGAGATAACTAGAAAGCCTAGGCTATAATAGAAACCATTATGGGGGATTAGAAGAGAGATAGAGAGAGACTGAGAGATTAAAGAGTCGGTTAAATTTAAGAGAGAGAGAGAGAGAGAGAGGTGAGGAGACGATATAGAATGATACTCTGGAGAAAGATAAATTAAACACACATAATGTATATTAGAAGTTGAGCATACATGGTGTATATGCAATTGTAATTGACCATTTTAAAAAATGAATATCGAAATAAAAATAAAAATATAATACACGAGTTATAGCGAAACAAAAATAAAAATATAGTGAAAAAATAAAAATATAGAAATAAAAATTTGGTTAGTTATAGCGAAATTCAAACATACTCAGCCAAGTGAGTTGCGTGTATTTATCTAATACACTAGAAGGCACTAAGGTGTACAATTAAAAAGATCTCGTGTGTGTTATGAAATTTACAACCAAAGCAATTAAGATTATTATTTTTATTTTTATTTTTATTTTTATTTTTGGAGTGGAGGAGAGAGAAACGGTTGAGAGATTTGGGAGGTGGAGAGAATGAAACCTTTGAGAAGCTGCCAATGAGGCATTATTACAGGATAACCAAAGAGAATGAAACCTTTGAGCTACAAAACATTTAGCTTATATACATCTCTAATTACATTCCACAACTATATGCATAATCTATCACTACTCTAGACTCATGGCTTCACTTCACTCCTCACCTTCTCTCCTATTTCTTCTTATTCTAACATCACTTCTCACCATACCTACATCTTCCACAACTTCACACCAATCCCTCAATCTTTCCCCAATCCAAACCGGGTTTCGAATCGGCCTAACCCACATCGATCATGGCCATAACTCCACGAAACTACAACTCGTCCAGCGATCAATCCACCGCGGAAAACTCCGGCTAGAGAGGTTCAATGCAATGGCAACTTCTCCGCCTGGTATTCAAGCCCCGCTCCATGTAGGCAACGGCGAGTTCCTCATGAAAATGTCGATTGGAACTCCACCGGTGCCCTACTCAGCTGTCATGGACACTGGCAGTGACTTGATATGGACACAATGCAAGCCATGCAGGAAGTGTTTCGACCAACCTACGCTGGTTTTTGATCCGGCGAAGTCGTCTACGTTCTCTAATTTGTCCTGTACAAGCGATTTATGCGCGGACATGAATGTATTCAAGTGTGACAATGGTTGTTCGTACATGTGTTGGACAATCTTCACTGTATTTAAAAAGATTTAATTCTATTGTGTACACAACAACAAATAGAATTTAAAGAAATAAAGAAAAGGAGAGAAATTGTTTATGGAGATGAGTCTGCCACACAAGGGTTCATGGCAACGGACACTTTGACTTTTGTTGACTCGGGAGATAAACCTGTGCCGATACCTAACATAGGGTTTGGGTGTGGAGTCAACAACCAGGGAATAGGGTTCGAACAAGGTGCTGGTCTAGTGGGGCTTGGGCGCGGGCCATTGTCACTTGTGACACAAATAGGTTTACATAAATTCTCATATTGTCTAACCTCCATGGGCGACAACAAAACGAGTAATGTTTTGTTTGGATCACTAGCATATTTGAACTTTAGTACTCATGGTGAAACTCATAGTACCCCGTTAATACAAAACCCTTTACTACCCACTTTTTATTATGTGTCTTTAGAGGGGATCACAGTTGGCGAAACCCTAGTACCAATATCAAAACAAGCACTTAGGCCGAAAGAAGACGGGAGTGGGGGCATGGTCATCGACTCAGGAACCACACTAACATACCTACCCGATGATGCTTTTCACTCACTAAAGAAAGAGTTCAAGGCACAAATGAAGCTTAGAGTTTCCCAGAACTCAGACTCAATTGGGCTCGACCTGTGCTTTGACTTACCGACTACAAATGTGTCAGAGATCGCAATTCCAAGGTTGAAGCTTCATTTCGAAGGGGGATTGGATTTGGACCTACCGGTGGAGAATTATATGTTCCCGGATCCAAGTACTGGAGTGTTGTGCTTGGCAATGGCAGCATCAAGTGAGACTGGGATATCAATATTTGGGAATTATCAGCAGCAGAATTTGTGGGTTTTTTATGATCTTGAGAAGGAGAGATTGTCCTTTATTCCCACTCAATGTGACCAGTTGTAATAAGTAGTTGGATGTTATACTAGTATGTGATCTATGAAGGAGAGAGAAAGAGACTTGTCTCCTTCAATATTTTGAAAATAAAAGACTAATACTGATATTGAAGTGTGGCCTGAATTGCACCAAGTTATAGAATCTAGTTCTTGAAGCAGAACCCACTCACTTGGAGCCCTCAAGTTTTTCAGTGACGACATTCAAAGCACATTCCATTACCCCACAAGTAAAAATCCTTCCTGCAAACCCTAGGCTTACATAGGTCCACCACTAGATTCCCCAACTCAAAAAGTTGTTCCCTTCAACTTTTTCAGTGTGGTATTATAATAAAAAGGCTCTCCAATCTAGAATTAGAAAGAAAGGGATCCAAAGAAAAAGGAAACTTAACTTGAACCTAGCATCATCTAGGTTTGAAAAATGTTTGAGATATCAAGCTATTCAACAGTCTTTCTGACTGCAATACCATTTTGCACGTAAAGATTCAAATATTCATACATGGAAAGAAGAAAAAGAAAAAAAAATAAAGCAAACGAGAGAAGAAATAATTCAAATGGAAACACTTCAACCCAAGAACTACCCTAACCTGAGCTTTAATACCAAGGTAGATCACCAATTACTAACTGTCAAGAAATAGACCCAACAATGTATGTCAAGATATTCAACACCAAATGATCTGGGAGTCATAGTTCACATGTTCTTATTATATGTCAAGCTTAACATATTCCAATGATGCATTCTCAGAAAGTGTGAAAATTTCAGTGGCAAACAAGATGCACAAGACCACAGCTCTTATAAGAGAGAGCAGGCAAAAAAGTAAAAACCCATAAAGTTTCTGTTTGGTGAAAGAAAAAAAAAAAGAAGAATATGAGACCAAGTGAAATTGGCAGTGGGTCTAGATAACTAGAATAAAGTCATCTCCAGGAAAAGTATATTTTACAAGGAAAACCCAAAAATGGCATTTAAAGAGTCCGGCAAAACAAGACATAGCCTATATGCTGGCGTGCAAACCAACTAGGTGCACAACTATTTTGTCACTTTGAGCTCATGCAAGTAAAGAATATTTTGTCTATAGTGGAGCTTGAGTCCACTGAAACTTCTAGCTTTAAACCAAATGACACACACACCCAAAAAAAAAAAAAAAAACCAAACAAACTATTATTCAAAAGAAACTCATAAAGAAAACGCAAGTTCCAAAATATACAGATTTAAGGGTTCATGATACCTTCCCAATAACTTAAGACTATCATACAAGAAGTCAGACAACGCATCCATTTTGCTAAAATTGAAACAAGAAAAGAATTAATATGCTAGGTAATTTCTAAGTGACCAAGAGGACCTTTAAAAGGGACAATTCACAAGATACAGAACAAAAGATGACATGGGATGAAAGATTATGTAGGTTCAATACTTGCCGGTCCTAGAGTGTTGAAAATCAATGCAGTCAGTCACTTTAGCCAAATGTTTCAAAAGCTCAAATAATAATCACAATAAATTACAGAAAGGGCAAACTGCCTTGGTTCACCATACAAGGTAAGGCAACAGAATGAAACAAAATGCTAGACCAATTGAAGAAAAAGAAAAAGAAAAAAGAAAAGATTATTTAAAAAAAAAAAAAAAACCAGCAGGCTGCATCCATAAATCAGTCCAATAACATAAATAAACAAAAACCCACAAGCTAAGCATGCAGTAAAGGAGCAAAACTACAATGAAAATCAAAAAACAAACCTAAAACAATTGCAACGGGAAAAATGGATAATGGATGCACCGAGGAGCTAGCAGCACTAGAGAGACCTCCATTGGGAGCATTTGTGGGAGGAAGTCCCACAACTGAGCCAGATGAAGGCACAGTGGAAGACTTTGGAGTGGTTGTTGGTGTACCACCTGACTCGGAAGGTGCAGGTGCTGGAGAAAAGATCAAACCCTTGCTCACTGAAGAAGGTGGGGCTATAAGTGGAGGAAATTGCTGTGGACCTGCATCCATTTTAGTAATCCAATACAATATCAAGTTAATGCTCAATAAATAAATAAATGCATTATGAACCTGTTCATGAAAAATTGAAATGATTTATAGTTATATTTAAACCCCATAACAATCAAAACAGCCCCATCACTACCCCATATTGTTTATGGCTATTTCTTGTGGCACTAAGTTTTCAGGGATGTGTATGCAATCAAGTTCTAGAAGATTGGAGCTAGAGATTTGCAAACAGGACAATGTTAGTATTTTGCATTGCTGCTTGAAGAAGTCACCATATTATTTATGGCTATTTCTTGCGGCAGTAGCTATTCATATAGCTAAGTTTTCAGGGATGTGTATGCAATCAAGTTCTAGAAGGCTGGAATAAGAGATTTGCAAACAGGACAATTTAGTATTTCGCATTACTGCTGAAAGAAGTCATAGCTGAATAATTTTTACTGTCGAAGAACAATGACATCATGGCCAACTTTCTAGCACATGGATTTCTGTCATTTTCGATGGTTTTTTTTTAGAGTTTATAATCATATTTGGAAATTTAAAGAATTGATTGAATAGTATGATTGAAGGGGATTTAATTTGAATAAAGGATCTTTACAAATTAGATGAAAATTTTAGATTACATACTGATTTGATTAGATTTGACTTTGTTATATTTTTCACTTGATTGTATTACAAATACTGGTGTATTAGTCTACTGCTATGGGAGGTCAAATATCAAATTTTTAATGAAAAACTTGAGAGTTTCTATGCTTTAACTTTAAGCAAATAGACTACTTCAATTTGCAGTGAAAATCTAAGCACTTCAAATGTGAATTCTTCCACTTTTACATGTGCTTTCAAATGCCTAACAGATAAATAAGATTTCATCAAGATTCTGACCAGGGCATCGAGGTTGAAGAGATGTTGACAACCTGCAAAGCAAGCAAAGAAAGAATGGAATTCAATCATTAGAACTCCATAAATTATATTCTGAGAGAATTTGAAGAGATGAACAGCATGCTTACGTAGTGATAATGGTTCCATTGACGTAGCCACCATAACTACAAGAAGTAACATTGCAGCCAGCAGCACTTTGTTGCCATGTAACATTCCCAATCATGAGATTACTGTTTCTGCATTGCATGCTTGAACAAGATACTGCCAATGAAGCTGGCATGCAGTATAAACTGTACCACCACCACAATAGTCGATTATCATAAAATAAAAATAAATAAATAAATAAACATAGAACCAAATGTATCTCAGAGAATATAACTCGAAGACAGTTAATTACTTGCGACTTCCTGTTGCACAACTGCATTGCACACAGTGACTCGCAGTAATAGCATAACTTTCATTTGGCACAATCAGACCAAAATCCCAGGAATATCTTGGAAAATTGGATGCACAAGCTGTAATGCAAGGAAAATACAGAAGAAACACTATTACTCACCAATAAACATACCAATACCATGAGTCAACAAAACGAAACAATCCAAAATTAAGAAACACTACTATTTGAATGTTAATTTCTACAAAACAAATATTATGTCTAGTGGGTGTTTTCTTGAACCATAGGAAAGCAAATAAAATTACACGAAATTCCTAAAGGGGTTAATTTCACTTTTATCCCCTAAACTATCACTTTCATCTATCTAGTTCCAAGAATTTTTTTATTTCAATTCAGATAATTCAATTAGACACGCCTGTCCCAATCTATAACCTTGAAAGCCTAACCTAATGGGCAAAATTTATAATTTGAACAACTAATATCATAGAACTAAAAACTCATCTTCTTACACACACTATATAAAACAACTTAGACCTTACAACCAAGCATCTATCTTCTTCCCAATTTCGCCGCCCTCACTAAAGTTGTTCAAAATCTAAAATGACATTTTTATCCATCAACCAACTCCAATTGGACCGCATGAGATGAAATCAGAAACTCTAAAGACTAACAGAACAAACAAATTATATGAAACACAAAAAATGGGAATAATTTAGGGAATACATACACGTGAAATTAGTCCTTCAACAAAAGCAATTGAAAACAATGGCTTTTAACAAATTCTGCTTTCAAACACCAATTTCACAAAGCAAGGCTTCTATAAACAATTCTGCTACTAAAAGCAAATAAATTTTCAGGAGTAGTAAATTACCAGACAATGGTATAGCAAGAATATCACCAGGCTTAATAGCACTACTCCCCAAAGCATTGACAGTCATAAGATCAGTAACCGTAGTCGAATACAACCCCGCAATCCCAGCCAAAGTATCCACAGGTTGCACAACATAAGACATGTAAATTGCAGGCAAAGAATTATCAGTCCCATTGAAACAAGTACAAGGCAAAGGAACAAGAAGAGATTGACCAACATCGAGCGCGGAAGGGTCCGAAATCGAATTGGCTTCCTTAATCTGGTCCGCCGACACGAGGCCGCCGTAAATTGAGTCGGCGATTGTAGAGAGAGTGTCGGAAGGGCGAGTCTTGTAATGGGTGAAGACCGATTTTCGGATACCGTCGACGCAGGAACAGAAAATGGGGATTTTGAGGAAGAGGTCGGAGGGGAGGATGTGGTTTTCGACGTCTGGGTATGAGATATCGATGGAGTTGGCGGTGAGGAGTGAAATGGGGTCGATTTGGAAGAGAGAGGAGACTTCGGAGACTTTGAGGTCGGTGTAGAGGGTGTAGCCGAGGAGGGCGTTGCAGGTGTCGGAGTTGGAACAGGGTTCGATTGTTGATTTTGAGAGTACATTGGATAGAAGAGAGATGAACAATAATAGGGTGGTGAAGAAGGGGAGTGTGATGGGTCTTTGATTCGGCATCTGGGAAGTGTATCAGAGAGAGAGAGAGAGTTTTAGAGAGAGAAAGATGGTTTTTTTAGAGAGTTTGAGAGAGTGTCAAGTGGAGTGGGTGATACAGAAAAATCAAATGGGTTTTTGTTTTTGTTTTTATTTTTAATTTCTGGAATTGAACTGGGTTTCAATGGTTTAATGTTGGTAATCTAGATGCTCCTTCCACACAGAAGAGGGAGAGAGAATGTGTTAAAAGAAAGATGGGCCTTTTAGAGAGACAGAGAAAGGAAGAGTGTGGGTTTTAGAGAGAGGAAGATGGCATTTTTAGAGAGAGAAAGAGAGGATGGTTGGGTTGAGCTAACAGGGGAAAAGAGAGATCAGAAAGAGAATGGAGCTATTGGGAAAGGAGACAGTGCATAGCATAGCAAAAAGAGAGAGAGAGAGGAAGAGTGTGGGATTTAGAGAGAGGAGGAGGATGGTTGGGCTAACAGGGGAAAAAGAAAGTGAGAACAGAGAGGGAATGGAGCCATTGGGAAGGAGACAGTGCAGAGTGCAGAGCACAGAGAGAGAGAGGAGCTGAGCTGTGTCCGTGTGTGTGTGTGTGTGTGTGTGTGAGCGTGAGCGTGAGCGTGAGCGTGTCATCAGACAATAGTCAGATTTCTCGGTCTCGGACACACACTTTTGCTTTTTTGACTAATTTATCCTCTTCAGTTTCAGACTTATGTAGTGGAAAAACTAATTTAAACGACGACGTTTGAACCAAAACACACTTCATCAGATTGTTGTTCTGTTTGTCGAAGAATCCGGGGTAGTTTGGTAATTTAAAACTTGCAACATCGATGCTGAGCATATTTTGGTGTAACCCACACCCACACAAATATTTCAAATGATTTCCTTTTTCAGCTGGATTTGGGAGTTAAGTAAGGCTCCGTTTGGCCTGATTGCATGGCCTAATTTAACTATGGGCTGTAATTGAGACGCCTCAATCATCAACTGAAGGAGAAAGAAAAAATAAAAAAATTAACCAATGAGGAAAGAGAAGGGGTCAAAAGGGTGGAAAAAAGAGGGTCTTGAACATTTTTTTTTAACTATACAAGATAAAATTAACTATTTCAGTTAAATAGAATAAGATGTCACATCTAATCTATAAATATTTTATTTTTTTCTTTCATAAAAATTAAAAAAAATAAAAAAATCTATTTTAAACGAGACTTTTTAACCCTAAATTAATATAATTAAAAAACTAAAAAATCAATCACCACTCAAACGAAGGCTTAAAAAAAAAAACTATGACAGCGCTTGGTTTGCTATTTAAATTAATTTTTAAATTAAAAAATCTAAAAATATGTTTAGTTTAAAAAAATTTAAAAAATTTTTCTTTTTTTTGTTACATATCAATTAATTTTTTTTTTCTTTTTCCTCTCTTCTCTTCATTCTCTTAAATTCTACACATTAACCAATTAATTTTCTCTTACACCTATTTATTCAATTAAAAAAAATGCAAATCATTATATAATTATTTTCAAAATATATAAGCAAACAAGTTTCAAATTTTGCAAACTCTTTTCAAAAATTATCTTTCAAAATTAATTTTCAAAAACTAAATCAAACAGGGCCTATGCTTCTCTCCAATCTTCCATTAGACTGGAGAGGTGTTATTGAGCCTTGTGGACCTACTTTTAACCTTCGTTTCAACAATTCAAACTGTTTATATTTTAAAATTTATTTAGTATATCATTTTTATAAAAAATTAAGTCGATTGAATAATGACAACTATGTGTTTAGATCAGTTTGTATTAAAAAAAAAAAAATAGACGGTGAAAAAATAAATAGTTCATTCAAAATTGTTCTGAACACGTGATTTTTATTATCCGATCAACTTGATTTTTTACAGCGATGATATACTCAATAAATCTTAAAATATGAACGGTTTAAATTATCGAAATAAAATTAAAAAATGTGAACACTAAGCCAAACTAAATGGTCCAATCAAACTGGAGACGGTTCAATCTCCTAAAAAAAATTAGTAATGTTAATTTATTTGTTACCTTTTTTAAATAACTTTTTTTTAGAGTGATTAAAATAAAATTAATATATAAACATATTATTAAAAATTAAAACTAATGATATATAATTATTAATTTAATTTAAAATTCAAAGTTTTCTCTCTTTCAAAATTTAAAATAAAAATATGCTAATATAGATGTTTTATAATATTTAATGAAAAATGATATACAAGTCCACTTTTTACACCAAATTCTACACCCATTTTTTACATTCAATGATGTGTAAATTATATGATTGATTGATAATTAGAGAATATATGAAAAAGATGGTTACTTTTAATATCCTATCGAGTAATGCTAGAGATCCCAAATATTTTAAAATAGTTAGATTCTCTAAAGTTTTTCTTTCCTAATTGATTATCACAATACTATACTTAAAAATCAAATCTAATTTTTTTTTTTATCTTGAATTACTTATTACTAATTTTAAAAACATCATCTTTCTACGCAATAACAAAGATCTGAATTCAACTCATCATTATTCAGATTTTTTCGAGTCAGTGCAAGGGAGAATTGTTGATCTCTTGTTCTTGAAATCGAAATTAGGTTGGCCTTTTTTAAGAATCCAAACTTAAACTTGGCCTCCGTTTGGCAAGAGAAGTGTGGGTTATTTTAGCCACTGCGGGACAAAAAAGACTAAGCCTCCGTTTGGGAAGTGGGTTGGTTTTTTGGCTTTTTGGCTTTTTTGGCTATTTTAGTCTGGGTTAAAAAGTTTGGTTTGGGAAGGGCTTTTTGGCTTTTTGGCTTTTTTGACTTTTTTTTGTGAGAGAAGAATGTAATGATTATGGGTTGGATGTGACGTTTTGTTTTTTGTGGCTAAAATAGCCTATTTTGTCTTTTGTGGCTAAAATAGCCAAAAAAACCCCGTTTAGCTCTTGCCAAACGGAACCTAAATTAGCTAAATGAAGACAAAAGCTTGTCAGTGCTTGGCAACAACCCATGCTTTGATAACTTTACCAAACTACCCCCACATGAACCTGATTAAAAGGGGCATCGCCTCACCACACACAAAGTAAAAAAAAAAAACCTTTTCCCAAAAAGAAAAAAAAATTAAAAATAGAAATTAGCAGCTGCCATGTAATTTAAAAAGAAATAAAACACATGAAAAATTATTTTTGAAAAATAAAAACAAATTAATGTATATAAATAAAAATAAAAATGACAAAAACATAAATTAAAAAAAAAGAACCACAAAAATACGCTTCATCCAACAAAAAAAAAAATTTAAAAATAGAAATTCAACATAATTTAAAAATAAATAAAACACATGAAAAACTATTTTTAAAAAATAAAAACAAATTAATGTATACAAATAAAAATAAAAATGACAAAAACGTAAATTAAAAAAAAAGAACCACAAAAATACGCCTCATCCAAAAAAAAATTAAAAATAGAAATTAGCATTTGCCACATAATTTAAAAATAAATAAAACACATGAAAAAATATTTTTGAAAAATAAAAACAAATTAATGTATACAAATACAAAAATAAAAATGACAAAAACATAAATTAAAAAAAAAAAAGAATTCCAATTTAATACGCCTCATCCAAAAACAAAAACAAAAAAGTACAATGACACTGAGGTGGAAGAAGGAGCCAGCTAGGAGTGGAAAATGTATTACCAAGGGCAGTTCAGTCATTTAACATGTGAACACCTCACCAAAAAGTTAAAAAGTCAAAAAGTCAAAAAAATCAAAAAGTCCTTCCCAAACCAGGCTTTTTAGCCTTAGGTTAATATAGCCAAAAAATTCAAAAAGTCAACCCACTTCTTTGTCTGGCATTGGTTAATATAGTCAATTTTTTTGTATTGAAACTTTTTTAGATTGGTTTTTTTAGCCTTGTTTGGTTTGAATTTTTTTACTTTTGTGCGAAAAAAAATGTAATAATTATAGGTTAGATGTGATATTTTTGTCTTACTAATTTGTTTAGTCTATTTTGTCATTTTGTGCTTTTTTAGTCCCAAAATAATAACCAAACAGGGCTTTGGCATAGTATTTTGGGGTTATTTTAGTCATAAAAAGATAAAATAAGCTAAAAAATTAATAAAATAAAATATTACATGTAAACCATAATCATTTCATCTTTTCTTTTATAAAAGTCAAAAAAATCAAAAAAACATATCCTAAATGAGACTTTTTAACTCCAAGTTAAAATAGTCAAAAAATTAAAAAGTTAAAAAGTCAACTCACATTCTAAACGAAGGTTTAATTCTTAGGTTCTAGAAATGAAAATATTTTTTTATACAATAACCCATTTATATTGCATGAATCAAATACAAAATTAGTAAGTTAAGATTGAATAATTATCAACATAAACTTCAAAGTGACACTGAAGATGTTTGAAGGTCTTTGCAATAGATAAATTTGTTGTTATTTGAGTACACATAAGATATAAGATGCACAAAAATAAAATAATATGCCATCGAATGAATTTTATCAATTTTTGTGATATTTATAAAAATCACATTTACATATGTTAAAAAAAAATTTCGCATCATATGTTATCAATTGTATGAATTTAATGAATTGTAATTATTAATGCAGAGTTTTTTTTATTCATACAATAAAGGAGTCATAATTATTTTTTTGAATATCAGTGAGGTCTTTTAGGTTGAAAACTTGAGAGATTTAATGTATGCATATTCAAAACATTATACAAGGCAAGATATACACGAATGAAAAAGACATCTAACCGAATTTGAAATTATTACTCATGTAGAAAAAAAGTTTTTTTTTTTTTAACCCCCCACCCCTACAACCCTTTCCTCTCGCAGCCTCCCGCCTGCAGTGGGAATAAACTCTTCTCTACACTTCATCTTTTTTCAATTTAGATCCATACCGATAATTTAAATCATTTATTTTATAAATTTTGCAATAGAAGTCATCTACGCAAAAAATAAAAGTTTTATCAAAAGCATTATAGGTTGTGTTTGGTTAAACTTTTAAAGTGTGATTCCATCATTTGGTTTTAGTATGGGTGTTTATTCATAGTTTTAAAAAATTGATTCCACACCTACTTTTCAAAACACGTATACTCTGTCATTCTCCCCGAACGTTCGGCCGATTGACCAGAATAGTATTTTTTTTTTGACACCTGTTATTTTTATATTTTAAATAAAAAATATTTTGAGAATTTTTTTAAATTTTGTTTAAAAGTTTTGAATAGAATTTTGAATTGTGTGTTTTGTTATGAGTTGTAAATTTTTGAATCAAATATCCTATAACACATCACTCAATTCAAACTCAATTTAAAACTTTTTTCAAAACTCTTAACCAAACAAAATTTTCACACTCAAATCATAATTTCAAAACTCAAACTCAAAATACAATTCTATTATCAAATTATAATTCTAAAACTTTACCAAACGCAATCATAAATTTTAGAAGAAATCGCATTTTGTTTTATTAAATGAACGACAAATATAATTGTAAACTTCAACCATTCATTTTATAAAATTAAATATTTTTTGTTCTTGAATTTATAATTATTCGATGAAATTTATTTTTTGTATGAATGACCTTTATTACAAAAATAGACGATTTGAATCATTGATACGGATTCAAATCAGGACCTATAAGAAGGGCATGGAGACATGGAGAGATGAAAATATAGAGGAAAGTTCATACCCCTCCAGCCACCCTTCCTGCCACCACCAACGACCCCCCCTCTTTTTCTTTTCTCCCTCCCAAGACTCATCTCACATTGCAACCCCGCCCTACACTCCCCAGCCCCTCCTCCTGCTCATCCCTCCTCACAAAGCCTACCCCTACACTCGTAGTTGTTCAATACACAGCAAGAGACAGACAGAGATAAAGGGAGAAAAGCAGAGAGAGCAACAAAGAGAGGAAGAGGGAAAGGGAGATCAACAGTGAGAGAGGGAGAGAGAGAGAGAGAGAACATTAGAAAGAGGGAGAGAGATTAAGATTGACAACAAAAAAAAAAAAAAAAAAAAAAAAAAAAAAAAAAAAAAAAAAAAAAAAAAGGGAGGGGTGAAAGAAGAGACGTGTGTGTTTGGTGGCGGGGAATGATGCTGGCAGGAGTTTTCAGTAAGGATTAGGACAGGGAGGGTGGGGTGGGGGGGGTTGCAAGTCCAAAACTTGTCCAGTGCAAAATCTTCACAATTACACCACACATTTCTACCTGCACCAAACAAAGTTAAAATCCATCCTCACCGTTGCTCCCCAGCCCCTCCCTACCCCAGAACCCCCTTCTCACTAGCCACCCCAACCCACCAAACCCACTCGCGATCCCCACCCAATATCCCGTAGTTGCATGCTGTGTGTGTTGGTGCAAGAAAAAACTAGAAGGTCTACGCAAATTTTTTTTTTCAGAATAAAATGAAAGTTCAACCTGCATTGATCACTGTCTTGGCTACTTATAAACTTAGCATCCAACAACCCTAGTGTGCACCAGCAATAATCTCGCAGGCAAACAATTATGCAACCATCAAACTTGACTCCTATTTAAAATATTATATAAAAAAATAACTAAAAAATTAGATATATATATATATATAGAGAGAGAGAGAGAGAGAGAATATTATAATTTTTTGATTGATCTAATAGAAGTTCACATAGCAAAGAGGTGGAATGTTTCTTATATGTTTGTCCTACAACCCATCTCTCGAATTGCAAGGGAACCCCATGTATAATAAATATGACTACTGAATCAAATCTTATCATCTAACTTATCGTTTACAAGAGGAATCAGCTCCTTCAGGTTCCGGGGAGTCCGGGGCGTACGAGGAGTTCCTGGTGCCTGTTGGGATAGCTTGTGCCTCACATACCCATAAAACGTGCATCCCAAAAGTGTCACTGCACATCCAAATGCATTCAAAGCCGAGATTGGGTTTCTGAATATCAACCATGAACATGTAACTGCAACTGCAACCTGTGTAGTGTGCAAGAAACATGAAAACAAGAGTTCTAAAATGGGATGACAATGCAACGGATGTAGACAACACATGTTTTTCAACAGATTATACACTTCCAAAAATAGTGCACAAATTTGAGCAAACAAGAAGTGTTTGATATTAAAGATGAAGCATACAAGTTCAAGCAAGGTTCTGAAAAGCGGTTGCGGTCACCGTAACGGTGGTGGTAGCGTGGTTGTGGTTATGTAGTGTAAAGGTCGTAACGTAACGGTTGCGGTAACCGGAACTATGAATTTTTTTATTTTTCGCACAATTTGACAAAAACTTACCGATACGCATATTTTTTTCCATGATCATATTTATTGGGTTTTAAAATAAATATTGATCAATTTTTATAAATTTTTAAGTATGATCTAATATATTTCATATTTTAAAATCATTATAAACTGAGTTTTTTACATTTTATTTTAATAATTAATGACTTTATATTATACAAAAAATTAATCACTAACTATTATATATAAGATAAACAATGATAAAAGTAAGAGAATAAATAAGAGCTTAAATATATATATCTATATATTTTTTAATCAAGCCAAATAGATAATGACCACACTTATTATTATTATTTTCAAACAATATATAGATAGACACAGAAACAAAACGATTGAGTGATAGCAACTGAATAGAATAGCATAAGTCTTACAGCTTCAACAAATTAATAACATGTTCTTCATCTTCCCTCTTCTCTCTCTCTATCTTTTGCTCCTCCATCATCCCTCTTCATCTTCCCTCTTCTCTCATTTTTAGCTTTTTTTTGTGTGTTTTTTCGAAAGAAGAAATTTGGAACCGTTATATAACGGTGTGTAACAGGCCGTTAGGACACCGTTACGACCACTATGGCAGCCGCTACGGCCGACACACCTGTGAATCTCAATCACATTGCAAAAGCGGCCGTAACGGGTGGCGGTAACCACCACAACCGTTACGTAACGGTTGCGTTCGCTTTTTAAAACCTTGAGTTCAAGCATTCATACAATCGTCGTTTATTACCAGTACCAGAGGAACTGATTGCAAAATTCGGGGCGATCATGAGTTGTTAAAGAAAGATAGGATTACACGTGATGACAACTGAATATATGCTTATGTAGAAATTTAATGTATAAAGAGAAATAGAGAATTGTATTAATGATTGATTTATATTTGTTGTGTATATTACAAATGGTGAGTGGCTCATTATATAGGAGAGGGTGCGTGTAGTAGGTGAGGAGTAGGTGGTGGTAGGTGATGGTAAATTGGTGGTAGGTGATGGTAAATTTTAACAGCCCCCCGCAAACTCAAGGAGGATAGAAACTAACCAACTTGAGTTTGGAGAGAGTAACAAAACAACAAAATACATAAAAATAAAAGAGGATAGGAGACACTGTATGGTCGTGTCAGACCATTGGTGAAGACACTGGATGGTGGTGTCATAACGGTATAGAGGACACTGTATGAGGGTGTCATAACGTTGTAGAGGACACTGTATGGTGGTGTCATAACGGTGTAGAGGACAGTTTATGGGGTCATGTCGGACCGTTGTAGCAGACAATGTTGTGACAGTTGTTGTGACAGTTTACAGAGTCTTGCTGGACCCTTGTAGAAACTAACCGGAATCAATGTCGGGACAGTTTACAGAGTCTTGTCGGACTCATAAAGGAGCTAACCGGAATCAATGTCGGGACAGTTTACAGAGTCTTGTCGGACCCTTGTAGAAACTAACCGGAATCAATGTCGGGACAGTTTACAGAGTCTTGTCGGACCCTTAAAAAGTCGCACCCTCAAAAGGTGTGCCCAATTTTTCAAAAGGCGTGCCCACTTTATCAAACGATGTACCATGAAAAGGCGTGCCAGTTTGTCGGGCGTCAAAAGGCGCGCGATGCGCGTGGCTGCCTCGACTATAAGACAGAGGCTGAGGCTGAGGCAAAAAACACCTGTGAGAGATATTCTGAGAGAGATTTCTGAGAGAGATTCTGTATAACACTCTGTTGTCCAGAAAATGGCTTCGTCTTCCCGCGGTCTGCTCACCCTCTTTCCCGACCTCAACGAGTCAACAAGAGAGACAACTGGTGTGGTGGCCCGTGAACCTCAACCAAACAAATAGATAATGACCACACTTATTATTATTATTTTCAAACAATATATAGATAGACACAGAAACAAAACGATTGAGTGATAGCAACTGAATAGAATAGCATAAGTCTTACAGCTTCAACAAATTAATAACATGTTCTTCATCTTCCCTCTTCTCTCTCTCTATCTTTTGCTCCTCCATCATCCCTCTTCATCTTCCCTCTTCTCTCATTTTTAGCTTTTTTTTGTGTGTTTTTTCGAAAGAAGAAATTTGGAACCGTTATATAACGGTGTGTAACAGGCCGTTAGGACACCGTTACGACCACTATGGCAGCCGCTACGGCCGACACACCTGTGAATCTCAATCACATTGCAAAAGCGGCCGTAACGGGTGGCGGTAACCACCACAACCGTTACATAACGGTTGCGTTCGCTTTTTAAAACCTTGAGTTCAAGCATTCATACAATCGTCGTTTATTACCAGTACCAGAGGAACTGATTGCAAAATTCGGGGCGATCATGAGTTGTTAAAGAAAGATAGGATTACACGTGATGACAACTGAATATATGCTTACAACATAAAATTTTAAGCACTGACACGGGCACACAAAAGTTCAGAAAAAATGCAGGATATGACATAGTGGGGACATGGGCAAAACATATATTTTTATTAATTTATTATGTCATATTTTTGTATCTTATATATTTGTTCTATGTCAAATATTTTATTCTCATCAAATTCTGTATGCTACTCAGTGGAGAAGGAGAATTTTAAAAATCGGACACCGCGTGTCCCCAATGTGTCTGATTCATCCATTGTGTCTGACACATGTCTGGAGAGTGTTCCTGTTGGACACCAGTAAATAACCTCCAGAGAGGTGTCCATACTTCCTAGCTTACAAGACAAGAAATTAGGAGAATATATAGGATCACTTTAAGACAATGATGGTGATGATGGTGATACAAACAGCAATTCATATTTGAAGGGATCCAACTCACCTTGAGATTTCCAGCAACATTAAACGTGACAGCAGTTGTAGAATGAATCACATAAAAGATTGAGAAATTCAGGCAGAAAGCCAACACTCCAGAGCCAAAAATAATAATGAGGGGTGAAAGAAGAGACGTGTGTGTTTGAAACCATAACATAATCCCAGCTCCTTCAAGCAATAGTGCTGGCACTGCCAAGATCATAGTCGCATAAGGTGCCATGTAGTACACTGTGTTTATGCTAAAGAGCACATAAAAAAATAAACAAGAGATCAGCACTAACCATAGAATAATGGATTGGATGAGCAAAAAATGAAATGTTTTATGGTAATTAAAATTTCAGTACCCCCCTTTACTAAGTTGAATAAGAAAAAATGTAATCAAACAGCAGCAAAGAAAGACATGATTGTCTTCAAGATGTATTTATCAAAAAAAAAATGATTGTCTTCAAGATGTGCCTAAAGTGCTAAGTTCATACAGAATAAGTGCTTTACTGGCGAGTGTTGAAGCAGTAAACTAAAAAGTCAAACTTTCAAATTCTCGTCGTCAGAAAGATTGCCAAAACAAACGGAAATTTGGAATCACCATGCTCAGACTGAATTAGAAGTTGCAAATATCAAACGTATCTTTCTAGTCCCACGGCTACTCAGCAATCAGATGTAGTATTAAATCCAGATTGCCTCCAAAATATTTGTGTCTACTTATAGGTAGATATGTATTGAAGTAATTATTGCGGGTGTAGTCACATAAGAAGACTCTGGAAGAAAATGACAGTTTAATCCTGTGACATCTGGAATTAGATTAACTGCTGTATGTTTTTTAGTTATCATATTAGCCTTACAAATTCAGACAATCAAATAAAGCATCAGTCCAGAACCATTGCAAAATGTCTATGATATTAATTCATTGCCTTTTTTCAATGGACTTTTATGCCCCATCACCCAATGTTGACATTTGTTAACTTGTGATGCTATGTATCAGACTATCTTATACACATACACAATAAACAGTGGATTGACTGCAATGCATGTCTGCATAATATGGCAGTACGAATAACTCTCTCTCCACTCCACATTGGCAATTACTTGTTTTTTTATTTTAATTTTTATGTTATTTGATAGTTAAAGATGCGTAAGTATTCTAACTCTTCATATTACCAACAACACAAGGAGTGCCACATTGATGTGAATATTGCTTCATCACATTTTACTCTTATCAACTTCAGTAATGCTTCACCATTCACTTTCTGGAAGGAGATTCAGAATACAACCACTCACCAAAATAAATTCCTAACTTTTGAAGAATTATAATAATCAACTATCAAATTGCTAGCTTCCTGGATATCAATTATCAAACTTCATCTTTAACTGTTAACAGGTATCACGCTTTCCAATGTCAACACAATCATGGTTGCATTCCAAAGTGGAATTGGACTAGGCCTGGTTACATAACTTCAATACAAGCATCAAGCTTTCCAATCTAACCCAGCTATTGCAAATGGCATTACAAAAATTCTTTATACAACTTGCCTGAACCAACAGTACAAAAGGCACATTGGTAACTAGCGATAGCAACGGAGCAGAGGGATAAAATTCTTTATACAACTTGCCTGAACCAACAGTACAAAAGGCACATTGGTAACTAGCGATAGCAACGGAGCAGAGGGATAAATAAAACGCGGCAGGCAGAGCAAAACCCGTCCCCACACTTTCTCATCGTGGCAGGGTGGGGGATGCGGGGCTGGAGCATGGCGGGGGAAAATGTACCATGTACCATTTTTTTTTTTTTTTTTGTCAATTGTTAGTTGTTAAATTAACACCTAAGGGAGTTAGCCTCCCCACCCTTGCAAAGCACTAAGTGCTTGCCACCTAATTCAACTCTCTCCTTGGGGAGATTTGAACCCATGACCTCCTCCTTAGGACTAAGTCCTTAGGAGAGTCATGGTGGCCAACTAGTCTAGGCCTAGTTGGTAAAAAAGTACCATGTATCATGTGGACACTTATATGTGAACCTTTCAATTTAAAGAGTAGTGGGTGGTATTGTCAAAACTACTTGGATGCTTCTGTATTTTTTCATGTATATATTCAACGAATTGTTTTGTATAACAAGGAAAACAAACAAATAGTTCTAACAAAAGCATTATTTTTTTTAATTCTATATTGTTTATCATTTATACCGAAGATATGTATAGACACCCCATTTTGACCGCCCTCAAGACTGGGGCGCTTCAATCTGAATATTTGATGATGAAAGTAACATTATACAAATTGTTCAAATCTTCAACAAAAGAATTCGATTTCGAGCTTCAAACCCAAGCCTTCCACCACATTTGGATCAAAACCCTTTTTAGCCTGATCACTCAGTGAACAGTAGGGCCAAAATAGTTGGCTGGCCTACCAATTTATGAACAGGCCGTAAATTGGCCGGCTGGCTATGTTTACCGAGAGCAAATATTTTGACAGCTGTAGCTGTCTCTTTACAGATATTTCCGACGTGAGAAGTCTTTTGTCTATAAATACAAGACGTCATGGTTTGGGGTTAGAAAATTTTGCCAAGAGCCATAACTGTTAGAATAATATATGATTATTTGAGTTATTATTTTGTAATTATTTTATACCTTAGGGCTTCCTTGTAATTATTAATCTCCATTAATATAAATGGGGGATGATATCCTAATCATACCCTAATCTTTATATTCTCTAAATTTATCATGGTATCAGTGCCAAACCCTAAAACCTAAATCCATACACCACACAGGCACCGTACCTTTCAAGCCCCGTCGCTTACAACCGAAGGCTTCTTGGCCCAGACGCTAAAGAATAGCCCTGCCCCATTTGATCACTGTCGCATGTGCCCATACACTTGTTGGTCCTGCCGACAGACCTTTTGGTCTGAGACGACCAGTGAGGCAGGGTCGTTTTGCCTTGCCGACTGCAACTGGAAGTCTGCCGACAGGACCGAGGCATTCTCTGGCTTCCTTGAACTTTAACTGTTGTCGTGGTCTCTGTGAGTGTCGTCTCTCTTGGCTAAGTCGTATTCCTATTTGTTTGACTCCTACTTTTGTCATTGGGTGTGTGATGAGGTAGTGACCTTTGTTTGACCTCTATTTGCATTTTTTTTTTTGGCTTTTTTATATAAAAAAAAAAAGAGTAAAGTTGATTAGTGTTTAATTCTTTAATATTCTTAGTGGTCATCGTGCTTACTATTCCTCCACTATCTTTCAGGTTTGTGATTAGCACTAATTTTGTTGAGAGTTAGGTAGTATAGTATCCATGGAAGATTCCACTTGTGTGTCGACACCTAAGAGTGAGAGTTCTATTATACCTACTACTATGACTGATAACCCCAACCCTAATATTAAAATCAACACCTCTCCATTCAATGGTCAGAACTATCTAGTATGGTCGTAAAGTTTGACTATGTTTTTGAAGAGCAGAGGGAAAATGAGATATGTTGATGGCGGGATACAGGCACCTAGCACCACGGACCAGAGTTATGATCAATGGGAGATCACCAACTCCCTAATTATGGGTTGGTTGAGACATTCTATGGTCCCAGAGATTGGAGAGGACTATCTATCTATGGACACTGCATAGAAAATTTGGGAGGCAGTGGCTACTACTTATTCCTGCAAAGGGAATTTCTCACAGGCATTTGAGTCGCGCCGCTCTATTGAGAGCTCTGTTCAGGGGGAGCAGATTGTTCTTCAGTACTTCACCTTCCTCACCAACGGCTGGAAATGCCTTGATCACCTGCAAGACTATAAGCCTATTTGCACTGCTGATTCAGTCGGGTACAGGAAGTTTATTGCACAGGAAAGGGTCTTCAAGTTTTTGGCCGGTCTTAATGTGGAATATGATCCGGTTTGGAGTTGGGTTCTGGGTATGGACACTTTTCCTTCACTTCAGGAGGCATTCGCCTATGTACAATATGAGAAGAGTCGACGGTCTGCTATGATGTCCCCTGTCTCTACTGACCGCTCCGCATTACTGTCTACCTCTAGAGATGGCCTCAGCTTGACTCTCATCCCTCTGTCTACCGCCAAGGAGTCTATATTCTGTGATTGCTGTCGCAAGCCACGGCATACTCATGAGACGTGTTGGAAGCTTCATGGGCCTCCATTTGGGGGTCGTGGTGATTGGTCTGGTTCTAGAGGAGGTCGGTCAAGCCAGTCTAGAGGACGTGGCTCTCATTTACGGGCTCATCGATCTAGTGCAGTTGATACGCTTGAATCTACTTACGCTTCCGTTGGCTAGCCTTTTGATGGTCTCTCTGGCATGACTACTATTGAGCTTGAGGATGTTCTGCGTCCCTTGTTGGACCGCCGGTTTTCTACTGCTCTCAATACATCTTTCTCGTCGTTTGCCCGCTCAAGTAACTTAGCATCTTCTCCTTGCGTTTTCCTATCTCATAAGTCTTCGCCCTGGATTATTGATTCAGAGGATTATTGATTCAGGTGCCTCAGATCATATGCCTGGCTCTTCTGACCTTTTCTCTGCCTATAAGCCCTCTTCAGGTCAAGACAAAGTCAGGATTGTAGATAGTACTGATTCTTCCATTTCTGAAAAAAGTTTAGTCCATGTCACTCTTACCATACCTGTATCTTCTGTTCTCCATGTTCCCAATTTTTCTATTAGCCTATTATTCTTGAGTCGTATTACACAGGATTTGAATTATAGTGTGACGTTTTTTTCCTAATCATTGCCTGTTTCAGGGCCTTGTTACGAGGAGGACGATTGGCATTGGTAGTGGTAGTGTAGAAAATGGTCTCTACTTCTTAGATCAACCAGACAAGCTTGCTCATTCTTCCACCACAAGTCCTACTACCCAAGATGATTTATGGCTATGGCATCGACGTCTTGGGTATCCTTTTTTTTTTTTTTTATTTAAGCATTTATTTCCATCTGGTTTTGCAACCAATAATGTGTCTTGAGTTTCTTTGTGAGTCTTGTTAACTTGGAACACAACACAGAGCTTCTTTTGCTCCCAGTTTAAATAAAAGTTTAGTTCCTTTTTCATTAATACATTCTGATGTCTGGGGTCCATCTTGTGTTCTGTCTATGAAAGGTCATCGATGGTTTTTTTACTTTTATTGATGATTTTTCTTGTACTACTTAGGTGTATCTCATGCAAGACAAGAGTGAGGTTATCTCTGTGTTCCGCAATTTTTCATAAGATGATTTGTACTCAATTTGGGGCCACTGTCAAAATCTTTCGTTTTGACAATGAGGAGGAATATAT